TGGGCCAAACCTTTTACTTGTAATTGAATATTTTTGAACATTGTAGTAAAGGATATTGGATTTTGAAACGAAAAATAAGGACAGTAGATCACCAAACCTTATCATTTGTGTTTTTATTTTTATTGCACATATTTTCAGTGAAACAGAAGGATTTAGTTACATGAGTAACAGCCCTTTGTTAATGTGTGAGAATTCAATAAATGTTTCCACTACATCTGTAAGCTTAGCAGTTTGTTGTGTTTTCCACAGAATTGTCGTGATTCATTTAAAGTTGACGGCGCTGCATGAACCTCAGGTCACATGATTTATCCAGACAGCTGTTTTGTACTGAGGCCTCTCTCCTGCTGAGAGGGATCATTTTCCACAAAGAGAAAATATTTGGCCCAAACTTCTCCAGTTTCCTTTTCTGCTCACAGCTGGCACGGCCCGAAACAACCTAAGTATACCTTTTAGAGTTTACAAAAATTCATACTTTGGGTTTTCATGGATTTTTTTGGATCACTTTGCGACAGATTTTGGATCCTTGTGTTACATTCCAGTTTCATATCAAGGCTATTTCAAGATATATATTCAAGATAAGGTGGTTTTGGCGCAGTGGTTAGAGCGTTGGTCATCAGATCAAGGGGCGTCGGTGAACTCCAGTTCGAATCCCGCCTCGGCCGCCACTGCGTCAGGCCGTTGTGTCCTTGGGCAAGACACTTTACCCGCATTTGCTCCTGTGGGTAATGTCTGCAGTAATGACTCTTACATGTCTAATATGTGTAATGTGTACTTGTAAAGCGCTTTGAGCTCCTGTAAAAGCACTCTAATAAAAAATGTAATGCATTATTATTATATTGTTTTTCCACCTCAGTATTTCAATCAGGAGAGACTTAGTTGAATTTGATAATATTTGTGTGCGCAATAGTGTTTTTGGAGATTAGACCCCATCATACTGTGATGAATTAGTGGGGAGGGGAAGCCGACTAAAAAGAGAAACCCCCCCCGGGGTCTAGACACTGGTGGTGGTGAAGGGGAAATCAAATCCGGAGTGATGAGGGTTCTTCTGGGCTGTCCTGCCTTGGATCTGAACGCTGGAGGTGAAGGAGGGTTGCATCAATTCTCCTGAACGATGCTGACGGGGGAGAGAAGAGCGGATTTAAACGTTTTGCCTGGTGTGCTGATTGGCTGTGGGAAATAAGACGCAGCCGATTGGTTTAGCTGGAGTGAGTTGCGCCTTTTGCTAATTGAGAAGGGGGCGAGTGAGTGAGGGAGAATTGTGAATGAGAGCGTGGGAACCAGTCATCCTGAAATAATTTACGCTGAGCTTCATTTGTTGCATCTTCCTGCCTCAGTTTCTTAAAGCCCCGGTAGAAAATCTTTAAAACAGACATTTCAAACGTTATCATTTAATATATATGATTCCAAAATGTGTCATTATGAACAATGACTACTTTTAATTTGTAATGTTCATGCTGATATGTTTGTACTTTACCTAAGTAAGGTTTTAAATGTAGGACTTATTTGTAAAAGTATATTTTAACAATTTGATATTAGTACTTTTACTAAAAGGCCCTATTATGCTAACTTTCAGCTTCACAGTTGTATTTTGTTTACATGCTGTTTCCGTGCTTTAATGTTCAAAAAGCTCTTTGTTGTTCTCATACTGCCTGTGCTGCACCTCTTTCCACCCTCTGTCTGAAACCAGAGCCCAGTCTGCTCTGATTGGTTAGCTGGCCGGCCCTGTTGTGATTGGTCAACCGCTTAGAGATGTCCCGCCCCCTTAGTTTATCATGTACAATGTGTTGGAACACTTGCCAATAGGAGTGTGAGTGTTACATAGTGATGTCATTATGTTCAGGAAGTAAACAAAGGAGTCCAATGGAGGCGTTTTTGGCAGGGGAGTGGAGGGAACACAGAGATTATAGCCTTTGCAGAACATTTACATGCACTAAAACATATAGAACACACTACAGGAGAGGGAAATCCCCAATAAGCAGAATAGGGCCTCTTTAAGAAAAATAGTCCTTTCAATTCAAAGGGGCTTTATTTAAAGTTAAAAGAAAGAATGTTGCCAAAGCATCAAAATACAACATAATTACACAATAATATGATATACAAACAACATTAACACACATTTCAAATGTTCACATATTAATGATACATATATACAGTCATACAATTACACTTCAACACACCACGTGTACTTCTTCTCCCCTCTTTTTTTTGGTTGCTTATGTTGTCTGCACTTTCCGTATTCTTGGTTCTTGTGTGTTCCCTTTTTAACTAAAGTGTTTTGGGTTCATGCTACCTCTATTGTCCCCTTTATATAGCACGATGATTGATGAAGCCCTTTCCAGTAACTCACCCCCTCTCTTTGTCTGTCTCTCAGGTAGATGGGCTTCTTTAAGGGCATGTCGTTCCCTCTGGCCAGCATCACCATCTACAACTCGGCGGTTGTTGGCTTCTTCAGTAACACACAGAGACTTATTAGCAAGTATCGCTATGGAGACGGACGGCACCCCTGCGGCATGATGGACCTGACGCTGGCCAGCATGCTGACCGGGCTGGTGTCCGTGGGGTTAGGAGCTCCAGTGGACCTGGTGAAGATCCGCCTGCAGATGCAAACACAGATGGTTCTGGCAGGTAAATCAGGGTTGGTTGTTGTTGGCTGGGATCTCGTTGTTCCCCCCATTTTGAGAAGCAAAATTATTCCTTTCCCAAAAGCTAATATACAATAAGAAACACAGGGGATCTCTGACTGTTTTTGTTTTCAACTTGGAGGAAGGAAAAAGGAACATTTTAATGCAAAACAGAACTTCAAACATGATTGGTTCAATACTTTTAGAATTAAATACTAGTTATTATAATATTATATCAGTTTCCTGGACCATCATTTTACATAGAGCAGGGAAATATTTGTATGTTGTATATCAATATTGTGATATATGAGACTAGATCAGTGTTTTGTCAGTAGAAAAAGTTGGTATACACTTCATACATAAATATCACCAGGTGTTTATGGTACTTAAAAACCCTATTCCCTAAAAAAGTGAACCCAATCCCACTCAATTGAGACCCCTCTACTCTAAGCTCATTGGATAATTCCCACTTATACTTTAAACTTATGTTGTACAGTACAACCCTGAACATTACTGGCAGTTAAATAGGGAGTAATAAAAGTGGCAGTTTGAAATGTTAACCTTCTTTTACATATACTGTAAATCCTTTTTATTTGATTATTGTAATGCCAGTTTTTCTTGTTCATTCTTCAGCTTGTTCAGAATGCTTCGGCTATAATCCTGTAAAAAGAGTACCAGTACAATCTTAACTCACCTTAAAAGCTATTTTAACTCATAAGGTCTTGCACCAGGTTACCTATCTGAGCTAATAGCATCGTAAAGGAAACGACCATGCTCTGCTCTCCTGCGCTTTGCTTCAGTTAACATATAATTTGGCTTCCTATATTTGCCTACCGTGCCTCCTTATCTCTGGAATAACCGCCATGACTTGTAAAAGAAGTTGAGATATTTAAATCCAAGCAGCAAACCTTGCTTTTTGACCCTACTTACAGCCTAACCTACACCAGGTGCATCATCACCCTTTTTAATATCCCATTGTTCCTTTGAGAAATGTTCAACTTAAAAGTGCCGAGGGTTGTTTACTTACTGGACAAAATGGATAAAGGCGAATAATAGTGAAGCTACGAGTCTGGTGACTACTGAAAAAAACACTAGATTTCCAAAATCATTGATATATTATCAACATTTCGCCCAGTAACAATACATTACATTGTAAAAATGAAATATTTAAGAGGCATATATTAACTCATAAGAACCCGGGACCCATTTCTACCTTTGGGGAAAATGATTGGACTAATGATGGACTAATGATTTACACTAAAGTCATTCATATGTCAAGTTAAATTGCTGAATGGAGCTGAGAACCAACGTTGAGATTAAAGTGAAATGTGCTGAAAGGAACTGAAAAGTGTGTGATTAAATTTCAAACACAGGACATTAACAAATATAAATACTTCTCTCCAACGTATTTCAGTTATTGGAAGATGACACAAAGGGTTCGATAAGTTTCACAGATATCTTTTCCTCAGGGTTATGGTTGGCAGTAAACCAATAAACCAAGTTCAGAGCAGGTTAGTTACAAGGTAACTGGCATTTGAAACACTGATATAGCCTTTCATTTGTTTACTATGTCTGGCAACACACCCTTCACACCCTCTCCTCACCGAGATTACGTTGTATTGACTTCTTCAAACACGCTTTGGCCTCGACTTTTAATACATCTGGTATCTGATAGTGCAAAGTGACGGAGAGCATCAGACAAAACCTTGAGTTCGTTGTGGTCTTAATTGTTTCATTTGATAGTCCTGATAAATGTTTTGTTCAGAGAGAAATAGGTTTTTTTTATTCTAATCTCTATGAATAGAAAGTTAGTAATTTAACCGCCGACCCACAGGCAATGTGTCCTGACAGTGCCAAGAAATGTAATAATAATCTAAATTTAAACTTTGGGTAAAACCCTTTCCTAGATTGGTGGCTCCATTTCCCATTTTACAGCAGTAAGTATTTACATGGAAGAGTTCATTAGACAATATCTTTGCAAAGTCACCGATTGGTTTCATCTTATCAATGGCAGTGTTGAGAAATGGAAATCCCCAAGATTTGATCAAGTGTTTATTAAATGCATGTTTTTAAAGAGTTTGAGGACAGGAAATGTGGAAACTTCTGAAAATATAATTGAATTGATTTATTTAAAACAAGGGACAGTGTTCATTAAAGGTGGGGTAGGTCATTTTGGAGAAACCAGCTCGAGTGCGCTAGAATTTGAAAATACACAGTCGGAAGAAATCTGCCACTTCCTTACAGAGCCCCTCCTCCAACACACACGAACGCGCACATGACCAATGAGGGCACGAGATCAGTTGTGCCCAGATGGAAGGCTGACAGGCAGGTAGGCCATCCAGTTACTTTAGCCGGCTCAGGTGATTGGTCGTGCTTTTTACAGCGCCACGACTTCCACAGAAGACATTTGTTATGGATTTATTGTCAAAGCACTTCAGATATTCATTGCTATCGGATGTTAAGAGCATTCCATGGAATATAACAAGTGTATCTCGAGCCAGTTTCTCAAACGTACCCCACCTTTAATCAATATATTAAAAACATGTAAATGTACTGAAATTAGCCAAAAGGCTGGTTTTCACACACTGAATACAGGTACTGTGAGAGCAAGTCATAATAATAAAGAAAACATTCACAATACGCACTCACACACACACCTACACCCACACATCAGTGCTGACACTGTTGGTTATCAATGAGCCAACACTGTGCTTGAATGTGTAGTAGGATGAGGACTCTCTTATTGGTTGTGGTATTGAATTCCATTGATGGGATGCGTGGAATGAAAGACAGCCTGGCTGAATGCGCTGTTCTTAAATGGGATGGGGGCGGTCTCCCCTAGCCGCACCTCCAGTAGCCCTGGTTGAGGCGGGCTTTAGGCGGATGAAGCCAGCCAGAGGAGGAGGAGCCAGCCCACGAGTGATCTTATAAACTAAGCAGACGTTTTTGTAAACGATGAGATTTTCCCAGCTCAACAGATTATACTTTTGAACAATGAGGCAATGATGAAGCCGGAATGGCTTGTTGTGTATAGTGTGTTGAGTGCTTGTTTAGTGAGTCCAGTGGCCTTGGAGCTGTAGTGTGCATTAGAGCAGCTTATCAGACAGTAGTGGATGTGGGAGAGGACCATTGAATACAAACCAAAGCAGTTCTTTCAAGATTTTCCAGTTTCAATTTGTTTTTGAATGTTTAAAATGTATTATAACTTTTCGATGTACTTATTATTGTAATAATTATTAATGTGTTATTTATTTTATCTCTTTTTTAAAAATATATTATTATATATTTGTGTCACTTGTATTTTTTCTCTTGACACCTTTCTTGTCTATATTTTGTATTTGTTGTCAAATGCTTTGGAGCAGAAACTTTGATTGAAATATATCGGGGGAAAAACAAAGAAATCACAAAATCAGAAACAGAATAAACATCATTACAGCAAATGGGACGGTGCAGATAAAAGGCAAATACAATGAGTAGACTCACATATTAAATACAGTATATAACCACACTGTTAATACAATACAAATGTAATAAGTACCACATCCTAGGAGCAGCTATCAGGCTGAAATCAGAGGAAAACAGGTGCAGAAAATGAAGTATACTGCTAACGGGTCTACTTTGTATTCCCCACAGAGGAACTTGAACCTTGCGGGCAGTTTTGACCAGCGGCTCCAACATCCCTCTGCGCTCCATCGCCATGCCCAGCCCGAGTCTGTATCGAGGCCCGATCCCCTGCATTCAGCAGCACCTTACAGACGGAGGGTCTCCAGGGCCTCTACCGGGGGGCCGGGGCCATGATCCTGAGGGACGTCCCAGGGTACACACTCATACTTCATCCCTTACACCCTTCTTCTGCAACCTGCTGAAGCCGACGCCTCCTCCAACCTCCATCCCAGGATCCCATCTGGCTGGCTGGAGGACTGGCAGGTAAACCTCAGTCGATAGGATGTGTTGAATCCTTGAAATGAGTCCCCTGGAAGTCAATAATAATAATACACTTTAATTATATAGCGCCTTTCATGCTTGACACAGCCCAAGTGCTTTACTGAGTATGACAAAACATCACAATAATAAATGAGGAACATAATTAAAATATGTAAAAACAATAAAACTTTAAGCAGTTTTAAGACATTTTTCTCTATTCATTGACAGTTTTAAGAAGTATGTCCCTATTTATGGTCAGTTTTTAGACCAAGGGTTACCAATGCTAATCTGTTCTAGACCTCAACAATGTAATTATGATCCGTATAAATGGCTATGACATGGGACCTTTAATGTTATTTGAATTGAAAGTACTAGTAAATTGAATAGTGGTTTGTCAAAGATAAATGACATTAATGAACTTAGTAGGTTTGTTTTTCTAGTGATTGGTTGAAGTGTGATTGTCAGGAGCTCTTTCTTTCACTTTTAATCTGCACATTTAACATCGGAGCAGCATTATTAATATCCATCAATGTAATGCAGGTGACATGGATGATAAAACAGAAATGTATGTGTAAGAATGATGCAGCAGGAATGGTTTGTTTCACACGTTTCCACACCATGGAAAAGCCTATTTGCTTGTAAAAGGTTATATTCTGAGTCTGTATTCTGGCTCATATCTTTCGTTTGAGATCAAACAAATACACTGTGGTCATGAGCAGGTTCATGACAACATGACTCGTGCGTGAAACATCAATTAGACCTTTTATTTGCTTACTATGTATGTGAACTTAAAGCTCCCATGTCCTGGCCATTTCTACTGATCATGATTCCAGTGTTGAGGTCTACTAGAACAGATTTTACATGTCTTCAATGTTCCAAACTCACATTGGTTTCTCACAGCCTCTCTGTATAGTCTGTGCTATTCACTCTCTGTCCTAAACAGCTTGTTGGAGCTCCTCCCCCCCCCTCCCTGTGAGCCCAGTGTGCTCTGATTGGTCGGGACGTTGCGAGGCTCGCTGCTCACTGAGCTGGCTTACTGGTGTGCTTTCCGGGTCGGCGATACAGCGAGAACAAGTGAAACTCATCCTGAGCACACACACACTCACAGCCGAAGTAAAGACAATAAGTGTGGCTTGATATTGAGAAAGAAAAAGGTTTATAACGCTGTGAGAATCTGCGGAGAGCATTTCTCCGCCATCCCAACTCGTCTATTACCAACCAGGGAGCTCTATGCAAGTCAATGCGACTCCCTGTTAGTTGAACATGTACGCTAAAGGTCCTTTGTGTGTGAGGAGCTCCTCGGATTGGTCCATTTTGACGTCATGACGTCATGCGGTTCCCGGAAGAAACAAATGGAAAAAGAGAAATGTCCAACGAGGGCGTTCTGGGGCAGCATAGAAATGTCTTTCTGTGTTAGAGTTGTACTCGCTACAGGGTTGTATCAGGGGCGGCGGGGGGTACTGTAGGCTAGGGCTAAAAACATATTAGGGAAGGCTAAGACTTCCCAAATATTTGTGTAACTGCATCCTGGTAAAATAAAATATAATGTCTTTGACATTAGCGCTGCGATGCAGCCACCTGTGCCCTGTGCTACGAAGCCAGTTCAACAGACCCTGGATATGCTTGAGTTATCTTAACTAACCCTAACAAACGAGATCTCGCTAAGCGGTCCTACGGCGCTGGTTATCAACTCGGTAAATCAAGCCAGGGTTTCTCTCTCCAGCTGAGAGCGCGTTCATGTGAAAGGGGCGGGGTTAGCTACATTTGACCAATCACAAACAAGGACAAGTGTACTGACAGCGCAGCGTCATACTTCATTAATGAAAAGTAAACTAATATTAGACAAATATGAACTTTAAACATCCATGATGACTTAAACATATAATCCAGGATACAAGCCACATAGTTGCACCTACAAGGAGAATACAGAACAACTGGTTAAAAATAACTACCGAGTGTTTGAAAGCGTACAACAGTTTTATTATACTGCCCCATCTAAAACACGATGGGGATCTGACTTTATTACATTTGAGTGTTTCCTCAACTTAATGTGTTGCTTAAAATAATACTTCTGCATACAGCATGTGACACTGTGAGTGTTGCACGGGCCAGATACGGCTCAGCTGACTCAGATAAGGAAATATATTGTGATTATTATATGATCGATGATCTGATTGATGATGTAATATGAATGCTAAATGCGACAAGTCGGCGTCTTCTCTGCATACGGCAGTTTAAGCTGTATTTCCTTTATCCTGTAATATGACTTGAGAGATTTAAACTCCGCACACTGAGCTCTGATTGGTCAGCAGGCGGTGCTTTCACTGAGTTGATGTATTTTCTATAGACGCCAGAGGCGGGCAGCGTCAGGTAACAAAGTTATTTAGCCTTCCCAAACCTGAGCCTCACGCGCCGCCTACAGGGTGCACTTTGAGGGTTTGTGACTCTGCAGACCGTTTACATGCAGAAAAAACCTTCATCACACAAGGGGACGGGTGATAACCGGAAAAGCATGACATGGGCCCTTTAACACTCTCCAAGGCAAATAGAGAAAGAAATAAAGGGTTAATTAGTCCGTATTTTCTACCCACGCATGTCAGCTAAGTACATTTGGTGCAAATACAGAGCAGGTTTGGAGCTAATTTCGTCCACAAAATAGCTCTTTGATTGGAGCATGTGTCAAATAGCTTTAATGATATGCAGATGGAGAGGTAGTAGAGGAATGTGAATGTAAACAAAGAAACCTGACTTTGTGTATGCCTGAATTCGAAAGCTTATTTTTCTTTAGATAAATACACTTACACAAATATTTATATTAAAATATGATGATATAAAGCAATTGTATTTTACTTACATGTGAACGCATGGAGCTCCAAAACGATGTATCCACATGTTTTTTCGAATCATTCCGTTTTTTGAAAGTCAAGCTCTGATTGGTTGAGAGCGTGTGTGTAAACAGTGCAGGCATGTGGTGTTTTGGACTCAGAGGTTCAGCAGAACAGAAATCACAGATGTTTTGGTGTTTAGCCCGCCATTCAGGCCTGCATGTGAAACAAAAACGTACATTTTTTAAGTTAACTCTTTATTTCAGAAACTTAGAATTGCCCGCTCTGCAGTGCGATCTGAAATCTATAGATATGTTTGTAGCAGGACTTACTTATTGTTGTATAAGTCATTTTGTATATAAAGCAAGTAGTTGTCATACTGTAGGAAAGCTTTAAAGTAAGGCTGCATCTAACAAGTATTTTCATTATCAACAAATCTAATGAATTAATCCTGGATAGATGATCCTGTAAGGCTGCACATTTCTTGATTAATCGATATACTCCTTGTTCTGTGGCAAACAGGCGTGCTATCATTTACCATTGAATCAATATATGATATCAGTTATAATATCTAAAATGCAGAATAAGCACCATAGCATGATCGGTCGTTTCCGTTATGGGCAAAATGTGGTGTCACAGTGAGTGTTTTTACCGCAAGGTATTGTGGGACAGCATTATCTCCTCTCCTTTATTAAAGAATGCCCCAGTGTTTCCTAAAGGAGATAATAAAGGAAGCATTGAAGCCTCTTTCCTATCATCTACAGCAGCGGTTCCCAACCTGTGGGGCGAGCGCATTGCAAGTGGGCCGCCAAATAATTAGCAAAACATATTAATTTGTGTGGAAACATTTCATGATTGAGAATTATTTTGTATTCGAACCTCCCCTTCCTTTCTCTTTCTTGATCCTCCTTAGCAACGGTCAATACAGTCCTTGACAACGGTCTGTTCTACTGGATTAACAACGTGTCACATGTTCTTAATCGACCAATCAGAACTTTATTTAGCCTCCGTATTGTTTATGGCTCCGAGTTGAAAAAGGTTGGAAACCGCTGATCTACAGAATCTGAACAGCTCTTTTTCTTTTTTTATTATCTATTTATTTCAACAAGGACCTTGCATACAAATACATTAATCTCAGAAAAGAGAAGAGATTAATTATGCCAGATCATGGCTGAGACTCCTGGGTCATTCCACTCCGTTAGACACCTTCCTTAAAATTGACAATTTGACCGTAACCCCGGCTGTTGTGGAAATATTTTCCAAGGCCCATAACTTTGACCCAGTTTATCAGTTCAAAACTGTCCTGATTGAGCACACACACCTCGTAACCTTGGCTGCTGTGCTCTCAGTGTTCTGTCTCCCTGTTCCTGCCTGTTGGCGTCAGCTGATAGAGGTGTTATGCAGCAGTTTGAAGATGCTCTCAGAACTAGTTAAATACACGGGTCTGAGGTAGAGTTCTTTAGAATTGACGTGGCAACTCTACCGTGAAGTCAGAACCTCTGGCTCTTGGACTTGTGATGTGAATCCTCCGGCCGTAACTCCAAATAAACCATCAGTGTTTGACATCAAAGCTACTGCTCCTACCGTGTCTCCTTCCTGAGTCGGTGACTCCCCACAGCATTGCTACACAGAAGTTTCCTCTACACCGGCCATGTTTCTGCTTCCTCACGTTGACAGCAGCAGCAGCTAAAGCTCTTCTCTTCTCTAGGGTCTATCTCCTGGGTGACGGCCACCCCCGCTGACGTGGTGAAGAGTCGTTTGCAGGCGGACGCTGCGCTGCAGAGGAAGTACAAAGGCATCGTGCACTGCATCGTCCATAGCTACCGGACGGAGGGCGCTCAGGTGAGATTACACCTGCACTGTCCTAAAGAGGACTTACCTCAGGAACACAAACCTAAACAAGTCTGTGAGAAAGTCGGTGATGCTGAACGTTTTAGTGTTGTTGCAGTCTTAGGTTGTTAAATAGCAGCCAGTAACAATACTATTACATTGTAAAAATGAAATATTTAAGTGGCATATATTAACTCATAAGAACCCGGGACCCATTTCTACCTTTGGGGAAATGATGGGGAACATCATTTAGACTAAATAAACAACACATTCTGACAAGTCTTATTTATAACTTAATTAATGAGGAGGATTTTTTGGTTTAAATTTGAGTTAACATTCTGAGATAAAATAAAGGCTAAAGCTGTATAAGGAACTTTCCAGAACATTTAAAGTTCATGTGACATCTGTGGCACGGTGGGTTCTTATGAGTTAAACTTTCTGCCGCGTTTTAGATACGTGAAGTACAAATCTGAATTCTGGATAACCCCCTGAATACATTTGACCTCTGTCAGCATCGTATTTCATTCATCATCTACGCTCCACCTTCAAACACCCTATATAAAGTCAGGAATTCCTAAATAAAACGTTGTTAGAGACTGTAATGTCGTAAAGCACTGGTTATTCTCACGAGAGAGGCCGTGTTTTTATACTGGAAGAGATGGGTAATCAAACCATCTTCAAGGGAACGAGCAGAGGCAGCAGATGCCATATGAGTGTGACTGTTGGTACGTCACCTACTAATAAAAACTGATGGTTCGTCATCGCCTCGGATAACAATTTTCAACCTTTGCAGCGGAAGAAGAAATAAAGCTTTCCAAAGCAGTTCATCTTTATTGTCCTATGGTTGCAGTAAATACAATTGTGTTGTTACGCTAGTGACATGACAAGCTTTCAATAGCATCCTCATGTTTGTTTTCTACACTGCTTGGCAGAGGTGGGACCAACTCATTGTTTTGCAAGTCCGAGTCAAGTCTTTGCGCTCAAGTCCGAGTCAAGTCTCAAGTCTTTGCGCTCAAGTCCGAGTCAAGTCTCAAGTCTTTGCGCTCAAGTCCGAGTCAAGTCTCAAGTCTTTGCGCTCAAGTCTGAGTCAAGTCTCAAGTCTTTGCGCTCAAGTCTAAGTCAAGTCTCAAGTCTTTGCGCTCAAGTCCGAGTCAAGTCTCCAGTCAGGATGGGCAAGTTCAAGTCAAGTCCAAGTCCTAAACTTTGACAAAACGAGTCTTAAACAAGTCATTATGTGTTTTCACCAAATGTAATGACATCGATCAACAGAATAATACTTAATAATCAAATTGCTCTTTATTAGTCACATTAATAATTTAATAATCCATTTTCTCTCTGCTGGTAAAGTAACGTGTGTTTTTCTAATTTAAGAGGGATCAGTAAGGTAAGGCTACCGTGACGGTTTGATTCAGAAGGAGTTTAATGTATAAGATCCCTGATGTTGAGGTAACCAGAATGTTTATTTCCACTGTGTACAACATGTTGTAAGGGACCCAACAATCTATCTCTATGATAATGTGCAGCGAGGCGTCTCTATGGGGGAAAGAACACCTGCATCTAGATCCCTCTGCAGGTGGTACTTTAATTATATTTTGATGCTAATACTTTTGTACTTTTACTTGTAACATTTTGAATGCAGGACTTTTTATTGTAACCGAGTATTCCTCCACTCTGGTACTTTACTCAAGTACAAGATCTGAACTTCTCCCACCTCTGACAATAAATCCTGAGTGGTTACCAAGAAAAAAACCCTGCTCTGAAGGTTATTTTCATTTTACAAATCCTGCACTCAGCTTTGCTTTCTCCAATATCATTGACATGCAGCAGATGCCGCTTCTTTTTTCGGTTTTTCGCTCATTTCTTGACTTTTTCCGACGTGCATGTATTTAAAAGTCTGACTCGAGTCCAAGTCATGTGACTCGAGTCCACACCTCTGCTGCTTGGTGATAGTTAGATACTCAATAACTAGCTTAGTTACCTGGAAAGTTTCTTATTTCTACATTATTTATTGTGATTGTTAAATTGGCCACACATCCCATCCTAGATTGCTGTTAAAGATTCTATCAAATGTATAATTTTCCTCTTAAAATCAGCAGATAACTTTTACTGGTCCAGCTTTCTGTATTATCTGCTGGACGTCAAACACATAATTAAACGTTTGGAGGTGAACTCTAAAGAAGAGCTGTTTCCTCGGAACTCAATTCCCTGAAGGTTTATCTGGACCACGTAATTCTGCGAGTGAATGAACTCTCGGCATCCAGACGGCATACAGATATTGATCCAGAAAGATCACTATCTGCATGATATGAAAAACAAACAGGTGACAACATGGAGGCAGTCAGTGGTCAAAAAACAGAAACATATACTTTATTATAAAAATACAACGTTTTGATGGATTTTATCCAGAAAGTTCATTGCTTAGAGAAGATGCCATGGAGGTTGCATCAGGTGAACATCCACGTTTTTGGACTAAAATCAACAACATGTGGCGTCCAGGGAACAACGTTTATCAGGTAAATGTAGACGATCTGTCGAGACTTTTTAACTGTGATTCAGCAAACAGCAGATATGTGATCAATAACAGAAGGTCAGAGCGGATCAATGAGTGTGTGTCCTTTCTCATAATATTAATCTATGTATTGATAAGTAGGTTTAAACGTATAAAAGGGAATTTGCTTTGGTGTTTAATGGTGCATACATAAACACAGAAAAGGAGCAAACAAAGGACTATTATACGAACCATTTACAAAAAACAGAGAGAAATATTTACAAAATCTAAATTCACCCAAAACTAAGTGCAGTACAAATGTGACAAAATACTAGAATATAAAGTTGTGGAGAGCTGTGCAGATTGTAAAGAAGTACTCTTATATATTAGTATACACAGGGATGTGCAGGAGTCTCAGTATTAAAATGAACATGAGTTGCGGGGTGAAACTGTATTGAAACCCTAATGAAACTAAACAAACAAAGATTATGAAAAGGGTCTAATAATGACTCAAATGTAGGTAAACAACAAAACACTGTTGAAAGTTACAGAGCATAAAACAATATGGATAAAATACATAATTAAATATCTTGGATTTATTTGGGAACCTGACACATTTTCAAAGATAAAACTTGAAAATGTGATTATTTTCATTACCTAAATTACTTTTACACATTATTTTGTAATGAGCAACGCTCTCCAAATACCACAGATACAAATACATGTTATACTAGATTTAATTTAGTTAATTTTTTTAAAAATCTTTTTAAATATCATTATCTTTCATTCTAAGTAACCTGTCCGTCTTTTAACTGTCTGGACTCATATTGGTTTGGATCAGTGCTTCTCAAAGTGTGGTCCGCGGACCACTGGTGGTCCGTTAGCGCCCCCTAGTGGTCTGTGAGTATATTGGTAACATTTCGCATTTGAAATAAATAAATACATTTCAGTTTTCCGCACTCTCGCGGGAATATCTCCGCAATGGAGCGAGGTTAAGTTTCACTTTCAATTGCATGATATAGCCCAGCGCAACACCTTCATCAAACATGTTGCCACTTGTTTGTACCATTTTCAGGCGATTTGTAATCTGTTCTAGAAAAGCGATGTGTTTTTTGATATTTGTGGAGTTAGGTGGTCCGCGAGTGTTTTTTTATTGGTTAAGTGGTCTTTGGTATGAAAACGTTTGAGAAACACTGGTTTAGATACATACTTTAAAGGTCCCATATTGTAGAAGGTGGTCATGGTGCCATTTGAATACTCTTAAAGTATGGAAACACATCACAGCATTTATGTTTTACGAACATTAAAGCATGTAAACATGTTCTTGTACGAACCCAAGATACAAGGGTTGAACTTGAACAAAAGGCACAATATGTCATCTTTTGAATCAGGGCTGTTGCTAACTATGTAATTATTCTGGAAAACAACAGTAACACTTGCTAGTTGCTAACACCGCAATTCTTGTTCGCAGGTTTTCTTCCGCGGCGCGTCAGTAAATGCTATCCGAGGATTCCCGATGAGCTCCACCATGTTCCTGACCTACGAACTCTCCCTGCAGTTCTTCAGAAGCTTCTAGGACAGAGGAAACACTTTGGTGCGAAAAGGAATCAAAACTCAGTGAGGCTAAATGAGCTAGCAGGGCTCAGTATTCTGTAGCTGTGAGATAGCAGATTTAAAGCTAATGCTAACTTTAGCTGAACACACCTCAACTGTTGAACACTGCACTGTGAAGCTAATTTCCCTTCTGTAACACAAAGACTTGTGAATGATGTTTTAAAATACGTTTTATATGAGAATAAGGACACAGAAATAATCATTGAGTTCCTGGCTAGCACCTTGGTTGCAGTAGGCTACTTATTAAATACATGTATTGTGTGTAATGCTAATACCTTAAAATGCCTCTGCTATTTCTGGTACAGTAGCTTTGCGATTAGTAGCTACTGATTTTTGTATTGTACAAATTCAGCTTGTAATCTGTATTGATAGCTTGACACTGGTTTCATGAGCAACAATGGCTAGCTTTATAGCTAAATTGCTTTATTACGTTATGGTGATAAGTCAGGTGTAAAATCAACATTCACTCGTCCTGATAGCTGCCACATAACGGTAGCTAATGCTATAAGCGTAACATAGCTAACGGGGCACATGGAGGATTTTCATTATTTAATGGAAGAGTTGAGTATTGCTAAGGAAAATACACAATGCTTTGTGTTCCCTTTTTGGTGGCTTGCAGGCAAGAAGGTCATATTGGATGTTTGGGATCAGTCTGTGCTGAGACAGAAGAAGAAAACAATCATTGTCTGCTTAATTAAGGCTCTGTATACCCCTTTGTTAACGTCACATCTGTATCTACATTGACATCTTTAAATATTAATTTAAATGCGTTACTAGAACGTTTTAACGGACCTTAGCTCAGTTTTATTTAGGACGTATTGTGACCTGCAACTACCAAATTCAACTTATAGGTGTAATGTGGTCTTTATAAAATCATTTAACACTAAGATCTGTGCAGGATTAACATTTGAATTAACGATTTTATAAAAGGATGTGACATTTTCAACACACCTAAGTTTAAATTTAACAATTTTGTGTTAGCTTTCAGTGTCGATTTGTTTGTTTCAATTAAGCTTTCACTTAATTTCAGTTGTAGTTTGTTTGCTTTTTTGCACATTAATGAGAAAATATATGTTAATTATTCACACTTAATTAATGCGTTAACCCATTTTAATTTGTACCTTACTGTAACTAGGTGAGTTTGCAATTAATCTAATCTTTTGTGTGGTTAAGTTGTTGCCTTTAAATCCACATGGACTGAATGTGCATCCCATGTTGCTTTCACTTGTAAATATAATGTTTGTGTTTCTTATATTAAGAAAAGTTAGTTATCTCAATACCAATAATACAGGTGCATTGATCCAGATACATAAGCCATTCTGTTACATGTTATTGCTTTATAAGGCAGCATAAATGTTTAATTATTAATATCAACATCATTTACAGCACAACGTTTCACCTTAGACTGAAAATCTTTACGTTTATAGATTAAAAAACACATAGTAGTTGTTGAGAAGTTATGCCTTTGTCAGACAATCATAATAGACCAACAGTCTCTTTATATATAAATTCATAATAAATATTCAAAGAAATATATTTGAATTCATGTCATGTACATACTTGTAAATATGTATACTGCCATTCCAGTTGATGGAGGGACTAAATTGTCATATTGTAAATAAAGATTTTAAACGCGAGTGTTTCTCTGAACCTTCGCTTCTCAGAACGATGTCAGTGACAGCGTGGTGATAATGAGCTTATCTGTTATCTGTAGTGTTTACATGTTGTTGGTTTTCATGTTTTATCTCAGCCTGGGTTGGCCCTCTGCCTGCAGACAGCTGATAACAGGTCACTGTCAGAAGCACTGTCTTTTTGTTGTGTAAGTTGGCCTCTAGTGTCACACAGTTTCCACTAGAGGTCAGCGCTTCCCAACATACAGTCACACAGGAGTTTATTACCTGCTCTGTCTGTGTCTCTGCATTCAACCTGGTGTTTATACCCACTAAAAACTGTGTATACATATTGTGTATGTACAGTGATAGAGTTGTAAATAAAACAACATGTGTACTATATATATTTTATATAGTATAATATGTCTATAGAGGTTCATATTATAGTTAGTCTATAATAAAACATAGTATGTACTAATATATATACGTCATAGTATATCAAAATGTCCCCAAAAGTTAATAGAAAGTCATAGTGTTGTGTCATTCTAAAGTATGTCAGTAGTATTTCAGTATAGTAGTAGGAGTAGTTTGTCAAAAATGTTTGGTATGTTGAAAGATAAAGACACGGTACAGTAAATGAAAAAAATAATAATCATACCGTAATACGTCAACAAAGTCTTAGTATATTACATCACACACAAAATAACTGAAGGACTCATAGTAAAGTATGTTGAAAATAAAGTCATAGTATGTCATAACATTTGTTTGGTATAGTAAGTTGAAAACAGTCATAGTATTTTATGTCTGTAAAATAAATATGTATAGTATATTATGTCGAAAAAAACGAATTGGAGAGTTTACGTGTTACCAAACAGTTCAGTTATCAAGAATCCATTAATCGGCCTCCCTTTGGTTTCCTCACGATGAAAATATATCCTTCATTTTCATCCAAAATCTTTACATTGTTTAGATTTTGTCCAGCTGATTTTGTCATTGATAATTGGTTTGCATAAAGCTGCACCAGCTCCTTACATACAGTAGGTGGCAGTCATGTACAGAGCAATATAAAATGCATAGATTTGAATGACATTATTACTGCTTTTAATACGTGATACAATCAAACACGTGTCATCTTCTGGATCTTTGACTCCAGTACATTTATTGATTTATTAGGGTTAGGTTCTTATCACGACAGAAGTGTTTCTACGTTTGAAATAGGGGAGTTAAGTACAGACACTGATCCTTTCCTAACCCTAACCCTAAAGCCTTGACAATTGCATGGCTGTTATTTTAACCAGGTGAGAATACATATTTATTTTTCTTCAACTCACTGTTTATTTTTTTGACTTGAAAGCAATGCCTTACTTTCAATACTTCAGAGGATAATGTTCTAATAATAAACTCATCCTTCCTCTGGTGAAGAAACTATACATTAGAGACACTTTCTCAATGAACGCAAGACTTTCTTTGTATATTCAGTACTGGGATTGACTTGTTATGTATTGGCCAACATGTGTGATAATATAAATACATCTGCAGTCAGCTAATATCATCTGTCCTAGCTTTACAGAAAAGCCAATGTGGTCAGAAATATTCCACCTTTTTTAACAATTTAATTTGACGCTAAGCCTTGTGTCAGCTTAGCTTCTATTGCACATTTTACACAGAAAAATATCATATTTCCTCAGGACTGTTTGTCATTTTGCTCGGAGAACAACTCATAGCTATTCCAAGATACACAGCGTATACATGTGAAGAAAATAGATAACACAATAACGACACACACACTATCATACATCCTTTGGTCATGGCATTTCCATTGTCCCCGTTAAATGTGAGCATAAACCTGAAATAAAAAGCAATTCTCTCTCTCTCTATATGTAAATGTCTTGTGTTGAGTTTTTTTTTCAGACATACCAAACCCCCTCTCTGCCTTCAGTCATTCAAAAGCCCCTGAACGAGGGAAGTGTAAATGTCTTTTGGAAATTACAAACAGCCCACACACACTAATCTGTCACCGAGTCTTTCATTCAGGATTAACAAGGCTGTAAAAGAGCAGCAGTGGAGGAGGGAAACAGGTGTGTGTGTGTGTGTGTGTGTGTGTGTGTGTGTGTGTGTGTGTGTGTGTGTGTGTGTGTGTGTGTGTGTGTGTGTGTGTGTGTGTGTGTGTGTGTGTGTGTGTGTGTGTGTGTGTGTGTGTGTGTGTGTGTGTGTGTGTGTGCGGGCGTGCGTGGGTGCGTGGGTGGGCGTGTGGATGTGTGTGTCGGAAATGTATAAAAGTGTGTGTTTTAGAGGGTCTTTATTCATTTGAGTCTTTTGCAGTGACACCCTGGTTCACACTCACCACATTAACATACATTCACACATTCAGACTGTGTGTGACGGACACACACACACACACATACCATGTATGCAGGGGCGGATCTAGACAAATATTCATGGGGTGGCAAGAGGGTGGCAGGAGATTTTGAGGGGTGGCATCCCCTGACAGAAGTATATGCTGATTGAAATCGCAATCATATCAATCAATTAGGGATGTAACGGTACACGTACCCGTACTGAAATTATTCGGTACGGTCCCTTCGGTTCGGTACACGTGTGTACCGAACGAATATAGCGTTAAACGTAAAAAATTGAGAACAACTTTCTGGAAGTAATCTCAGGTATATATCATAGAGCGACCAAGTCATTTCATTGGACGAGAGGCATACTATGAGAGCTGGTCACAGGGATGCGTTCAAATGTAGTCAGTAATTTGAGGAACTGTCGAAATGGCGAACGCAGATAAAGTTGAGCAGAAAATCCTCCAGCATCATTGAAGTCTCCGGTTTGGGAACATTTTGGTTTCGCAGTTACGTACAAGGATGAAGGACAAAGACAGGTGGACCGAACCAAAGCTGTTTGTCGACATTGTTCAACTAAAATTGGTTACGCGGCTGGCAATATATCAAACTTGCACACTCATTTGAAAAGGCATCACCCGAACATGAATATCACCGGTACCAAAAGAAAAAAGACTGAAGTGCAAACCCAACTCCCACTAGCATGTAAGCCTCCACCACTCGCAAAGAGTTCAGACTGAGCCAAAAGCTATTACAAACGCCAAGTATCCTTATGTTGCCATGTTAGCAAAGCGCTACCTGGCTGTGTCTGCTAACTCTGTCCCAAGAGAGGGTGTTCTCCACAGCAGGAGACATTGTTAGTGCCAGCAGATCTGCCATTTCAGCAAGCAATGTGGACAAGTTAATCTTTCTTTAAACAACATGAAACTACAATGACAAGCGAGTCCTAATGTCAAGCTGGCTGCTTAGGTACTAGTACAGTTCAAATACAGATTATTTCAGTTCATCGAAATGCTGCACCTTAATGTTTATTTTACTATATTTTGTATTTATTTGAATACATTAGTCAGTTTAATAATAATTAAAAAAAAAAATGTAATGTTTTGTGATAATTGTTTCTGCTGAACCGAAAACGTACCGAACCGAACCGTGACCTAAAAACGAGGTACGTACCAAACCGAAATGTTTGTGAACCGTTACACCCCTACAATCAATGTTAACTTGGAAAGCCACAATATTAATATTTTAACTCAATCACATAGGTGATATTATTGTGGCACATCAGTAAAGCCTTATATATAAGGTGGCAGACGTAATTTAATGAATTTTAACTGAACAATAACTGAATGAGTTTGTCTCACTCTTAGACCAGCAGGAGTACCAAATATATACAGACTGCTGCAATAAGTACATTAATTAACTGTCTCATCGATGTTTGTCTGAATGAATATGATAATATTAACAATCATATTATTACTATCAGCTGTCAATCACTGTTAATAAATAATAATAATAATAGATTTAATTTGTTAGCGTTTTTACAAGTGCTCAAAGACGCTTTACAGATATAGTGAAGAACTGTTATGATTCACATATTCATTTATTATTGAATAAACTATATTTTTTGGAGGAGTTAATGATGAATGTTCATCAAGATGCTTACTCACCCTCCTTCAAATTTGAAAAACAAGTAATTATATCATTATTGATAAACAGTTACAACCTTGACTTTACATCAGAAAGAACAAACATTAAAGAAGTGACTAACTGCATCAGTTAGGGTTACAAAAACGTGTATTCAGCTAAAACATATACATCGCTGCAGTTATTATCCAATGGAAGGTCCTTACCTACTGGCCTAGTTAAATCAAAGTGGTTACTTTCTGTTGGCTGGGCAGTGTAGTTTTACACACCGTCTTATTTTACTTTCTCAGGACTTAAAACTGTTTTTTGGGGGCAGACCCCCTCAAAGAAAAAAATATATTCACGCATACAAGGTCATCATCTTAACAGTTTGTTATTCTCATCGAGTCATCCGTGAGCAGAGCATCAAGTTGGCATGTCTATTACAGCTGAATGCGGCTATTACTATTTTGTTCAGCAAAACGCCTCACAAATGTATTAAGATCAACAGCTGTAGTGCGTTTTGATTCAATGCTGAGTACAGCCAAACTTGACATTCTCTTCTCTCATTGTAGACCGCAAATACCTCATTCCTTCAGTGCTTGGGTCCGAAAGGCTTCTCGTTTTGCGCCGTCCCCCGTTCAAGTGAATTCGCCACCAATCATATTTCCACTCTCGCGCCAGGACCGGGGGAGGGGTTACATGACGTGCATCTTGTGCTGCATTCACTTGCACTCGGACATTAGAGACTTTCTCTCATAAATGTCCGATGAGCCACAACTTTTCTTTCAAAACAAAGATGCCAACTGGGGTGGCAGCTGGGGTGGCAAGGCTATTGTTTAGGGTGGCAGTTGCCACCCCATGCCACCCCGGTAGATCCGCCCCTGCATGTATACATCACTTCAGGGGACATTACATTGACTTACATGCATTTCCTGGAGACTTATCCTAACCTTAACCATAACCAACACATGCCTAACCCTAACCCTAACCCTTAGTCTTCACCCTAAAATGAATGATCCCCCTCATGGGGACCTCCCATTTGTCCCCATAAGGGAGGCG